TTATCTGGCAGGTGCTTAGAACCTCAATATTTTGGGGAACCTCAAAAGAGGAATTCACCCAAACCTGTAGGTATTACAGGCAAGTCTGATGACAAAGTCCTTGGCTTGGCTTTCCTGACTTCAAGAGGCCTTTGAAGTTCAATTTGAGATTCCTTATAAAAGTTCCAGTAGGGCCGGCCCCGTGGCTTGGTGGTTAAGTGAGCGCGCTCCACTGCTGGCGACCCGGGTTCGGATCCCGGGCTCGCACCAACGCGCTGCTTCTCCGGCCATGCTGAGGCCGCGTCCCACATACAGCAACTAGAAGGATGTGCAGCTATGACACGCAACTATCTACTGGGGCTTTGGGGGGAAAAATAAATAAAAAAAATCTTTAAAAAAAAAAAAAAAAAAAAAAAAAAAAAAAGTTCCAGCAAAGCAGAGTTAAAAGAGCCTATATGATCAATTGCTATTCTTGCTGTACTTGTGTAAATAACTGGGCCAAATTTATTGAAATTAGACTTATTTTACAAACCAGTTAGTCTTAATTTGGCTATCTTTGGTAAAATTGAGGGTGATTGTCAAGAGAAAAATCATTTCAGTAAAAACTATAGTACACATTTGTGGGTATTAGATGCTCGTTTTGTTAATTGTCTTTGAGGTTTTTGTTTTTCTACCTGTAAACTGGACTGGATCCTGAATTCTTCCAGTCTCCTGAAATATCTGGCTACAAATCTCCAAACTAACATTTTCAATTTTTTTCCATCATTTTCATTTGGAATCATTGAGAACTGAAACCACCCTTGCTCCTGAAGTCCTACAAACTGAAGCTAGACAACTTGATGTAAACTTAAGAGAGATCACCACGATAGCATGCCTGTTGCTGTGTAAGCCACTCAAAAGGATACCTGAACACCCAAACATCACCACAGACATTTCAAGCTGCAAAAGATGCTTTGACACTGACATCTAGAAATCTTCTTAACTGGCTGTCCTCTGAACTCAGAAACTGGTTTATAATTTGCTCCAACCATTAACCTTGTTTTTCTTTTTGTTTCCATGGAAATGCTTCTTATTAAATACCTAATTGCTTGCTTCCACAATATAGACCTAACTTTGGGAGCCCATATGAATCACCACCTCCTGAAATGAATTTAACTGGACTGATCTATTATCAGGACTAAGAAGTGTGTCTAGTGAGATGGAACAATCTACCACTCAGCTTCTGGACTACAAAACTTCTTAAAGTTTCAAAGGACTGTGAAACATCTTAAAGTTTCAAAGGTGGGACTGTGGGGGATCAGAATTGGCCACCCCAAAATGTGTCTCTTTGCCTTGGCTTGATTATTTTTAAGAACAAAAGACTCTGAAACTTTGGCCTTCCTCCTAACTGCCTAAAAGAATTTAAGATAAAAGGCCTGTCCCCAGGATGGGCCATCACCATAGATAACTCTGGGTAGTGATAGACTGGGAGGGTCCTTCCTAAGCCATTCTTATCAAAGCTCTCTTTTCCATTTCCATGTGAATTGCCTCCCTCCTCTTTGAATTCCCAAACCACTACCCCCAACAACCTCCTTTGTCTTTAGCTGAAGATGGTATTTAAGATGAGAACCTCCACCGTTTTGTTGAGTTGCTCAGTTTTCCTGCATCTCTCTCATGTATACATGTTATAAAGCTTTGTTTGATTTTCTCCTGTTATTCTCTCTCATGTCAATTTAATTCATAGCCCAGCCAGAAGGACCCAGAGCGGGTAGAGGATATATCTTCCTCCCCTACAAGGTCTTTGTGTTATTTTAGTAGGACAATTGGTGAAATTTGAATAAAATCTCTAAAACAGCTGACAGGATTGTATCAATGTTAATTTCTTAGTTTACGTAGTTGATTTATGGTTATATAAGATTTTAACATTAGAGGAAGCTGGGTGAAGAGTATATGGGAGGGGCTGGCCCAGTGGCGTAGCAGTTAAGTGTGCATGTTCTGCTTCAGCGGCCTGGGGTTTGTGGGTTCGGATCCCGGGTGTGCACCAATGCACTGCTTGTCAAGCCATGCTGTGGTGGTGTCCCATATAAAGTAGAGGAGGATGGGCACAGATGTCAGCCCAAGGCCAATCTTCCTAACCAAAAAAAAAAGAGGAGGATTGGCATCAGATGTTAGCTCAGGGGTAATCTTCCTCAAAAAAAAAATTTTTTTTGTAAAGAGTATATGGGAACTGTGTACTATTTTTGCAACATTTTTTGGAATTAAAATAATTTCAAAATATATTTCTTTCTTTCTTTCTTTCTTTTTCTTTTTGTGAGGAAGATCAGCCCTCAGCTAACATCTGATGCCAATCCTCCTCCTTTTTGCTGAGGAAGACTGGCCCTGGGCTAACATCTATGTCCATCTTCCTCTACTTTATATGGGACACTACCACAGCATGGTTTGACAAGCGGTGTGTCAGTGTGCTCCCAGGATCCGAACCTGTGAACCCCGGGCCGCCAAAGCTGAGCGCACGCACTATATATATTTTTAATTTAAGCTTAGGGTGTAAGTTGTGCTGCTTATGATGGTCTATGATACTAAAGTTGTGATGTCTCTTCAACATAATAGTTCTGCTGGCCTTTCCAGTCTGCAGAGGTCCTTGGTGAGCTCAGCTTCAGGGAGGAGTTTTTTCACTTCCCTTGTCATGTTGGCACCTCAGGGCTGCACAGGACGATGGGTGGGTGGCCTGTGCCTGGAGGGCTTTAGGCTAGACCTCTGTCAGCCTGAGCAGGCCCAGCCCAGGCAAGGGCCCGAGAGGCTGGGCAAGCTCATAAGGAGGCAGGTGCAGAACGAGGGGCCTGGGGAGGCTCCAGGGGCTGAGACCCCAGTCCCTGCCTGGACATCTGCCCAGGGATTTCCTCAGAAGCCGCTGATGTTAAGCTTCAGCTTCCTGTCGCCAGGACAGAAGGGGACGAGCTCAGAAGGGAGGAGGTCTGGGCCTCAGAGGAAACGAGAGCTTGGCAGAGAGGAAGCCTGAACACATGCGGAGACCCATGGACACAGAGCTGTGGACGAGCTCGGAGACACTCACAAGCACAGGGGCCCTGAGGGACACCCAGGTGTGTAACGCATTGCCCTACGGGCAGCACGATGTGCAGACACACACGGTTCATGCAAACACGCTGGCACATAGCACACCCATCGGCATGTGTCCCACCCTTCAGGCAGGCCAGGCTGGGGCCAGAGGGGAGATCAGAGCAGGGGCTGCAGTCAGGACAGGTTTCAGGGAGGAAGGGGGCTGAGTGGGCAGAGAGGGGGCTTGAGGACGCCTTTGGCATCTGCTCTCAGGCACTCCTGTCCGTTCCCGAGCTTCTGTCAGTCATTCCCCCATCACTGAGCACATACTTCTACTACTGTTAGGCCTCGTCTAAAGCGGGGCACAGACATGGAGACCCAGCCCTGCCCCTGAGGAACCCACAGAGCCCCCAGCTGGGGAACTGCTGGTTCCCTGGGATGATAATGGCCAAAGGGCATTCACTGGGCATTGGCCAGGTGATAAGAAGAGAAAAGTGGTTCTTGGGGAGCCCAGCAGACAGAAAAGCCCTCAGGCTTGGGGACAGCAAGGAAGGAGGCCAGGTGGGTGGCAAGGGCAGAGCTCCCAAGGTCACATGACCCCGATGTATGGAGAACTCCCTGAGTGACTAGGCAGGGGGCACCAGGGCACCACGGTGGCCCAGGACCAGGTGCAGTAGCAGTGGCCCCGAGGACCTAGCTGCTCTGTCCCTCCCACAGCACGGCCTGTGCTTGCTTGGGGCCTCGCCAGCTTCTGCTTGTGCTTGTGTATCAGTCTGGATTCTGCCACCACTGACGAAAACCCACCTCAAACCAGCTTGAGCCAAAAGGAGAAGTGGTCATCTTACAAAACAGAAACGCTGAACAGCCAGGGGGGTGTTCCAGGCATGGTGGTCCCAGGGCTCTAGGACATGAGCCACCTCCCTCCTTGCAGCATGGCCCCATGTTGGCTCCATCCTCCTCAGGGTGGCGAAGAGTCACCAGTGGACCCTCGGTTATCTCCCTCCTCACTCCTAGCTTCCCTTCCCAAAGTTCTAAGGAAGTTTCCAGAACTTCGTTTCACCATCTTGAGTTAGCCTTGGTTCACAGTCAGTTTTGGTTCCTGCGTCCAGCCCACAGGCCTGGGGGGGCAGGAGGCAGCTCTGTCCGGACCACAGGACCTGAATGTGCAGAGGGTCGGGGCCTCAGGAAGGAGGGATGCAGGGCAGGCAGAAATGGCAGATGACTGTTCTGGGGTCAGAGGCCTGGGAGAGGATGGGTTCAGCCATCCTGAGGGGGGGTGACCCACCCTGCCAGGCCAGCCAGGCAGCCTTCGGGATGGCCCATGTGCATGGAGCGCAAGCAGCTGTGAGGCTGGCAGACATGAGGTTTCCTGGTGGGGAGCAAGGCCGTGGCTGTGCCCACTGTGGTCCCGATACCGGGACGCCCTCAGTCAGAGGCACATGTTACAAAGCAGCCCTGGATGGGGGGGCAGGGAAACAGAGAAGTGGGCATGTACAGCAGATGGGGGGGTCAAGGCTGGGAACTCGTGAGGAGCCTGTGACCTGTGCGAAGGTGAGAGATGACTGGGGCAGGGCAGGGCTTGGCAGGTAGCGCTGGGGGTGGATTTGAGAATGAGTGGGACTTGGTGATAGATGGGAAGTGGTGGCAGTGGGGGCTTCAGGTAGGAGCCCCTAGTTTCCTGGGACTAGACTCAGGACAAAGGGAGGAACAGAGAGCCAACCAGGATCTGCTGAGGGTGCAGGCTCTGAGGGACACTGGGACAACATGGCAGCTGGACACACTCGAGGCTGGACAGGCTGCGTTCTGCCAGCACAGGGCTAGGCTTCGAAGGGGCAAGGACTGGGAGGAAGTGGCTGGGCTGTCCCCAGCTGGCTGCTTTCCTGCCCAAGCTCCGCCTGGCCCTGGTTTCCGCCTGCTCAGCCCAACCAGGCTCCCTGGCCTCTGGCCATGGTTACGCCCCTCCCCCACACTCTCCTCCACCGAGAAGGGGTGGGGAGAGCGGGCCACTCTTCCTCTCCTGGGCCAGCCTCCGAGCAGCACAGTGGCTGAAAAGAGCTCAGCAGCTAGTCCTCTCACACGCCAGCCGGGCCGGCAGAGCTGCAGGCACCATGAAGGACGAGGTGGCTCTTCTGGCCACTGTCACCCTCCTGGGAGTCCTGCTGCAAGGTGGGGAGGCTTTTGTTCGGGAGGTGGGTGGGCCTCACACGCCTGCAGCCTGCCTTCTGCCCTCTAGACCCCGGGGAGGTGCTGGAGGGCCCAGGCCAAGGTGAGGGAAGAGGCAGGGCCTCCGGCCCAGACTCCTGGTGCCCATGCTCTTCTGACCCCACCATTGGAGGCTGGGATGCCCCAGGGCTGAGGATTTGCACTTTCCCCAGGTGGGGAGGGGGGAAGCCCTGGAGGGCTGTCTGCAGCGTAAACTGTGAAACCCTGGGCAAGGACCAAGGCCAAGAGAGGCAGCGATAGAAAAAGGCCCTTAGGGACGACTGAGGTAGGCATGCCAGGTGTCTGGCTTGGGGTTGGGGTGGTAGCCCCTGGACCAGCATAAAATACCCTGGAGGAGGACAGGGGGCTTTCAGAGAGCAGGTGGGGCACCCAGCTGTGTTGGACAGTAGGCCCTGGGGGGGGTGCCAGGATGCTGGGTGCTCTGGTGCTGCCTACAGAAGTGGGACAGTCACGGGCCTGGTGCAGACCTGCTCCAGCCAGTCCCTGCCTCCTCCAGCTGTCTCCTCTCTGGGTATCCCAGCAAGAAGGCCCATCCTCCAGCCCTGCCTTCAAAGGCACCCTCTTCATGCTGGGACCATGTGGAGCTGGACAGGGGTTGGAACTTGCTCCCCAGGCCCCCAAAGGGGCCTGCTTGGTGCATATCTCAGATTGGCCCTAGAGGATGCATTCTCGAGCCAGATAGCCCTGCTGCTTGGGATACCATTGCCACACAGCATATAGGCTAGTACAAGGCACAGCTGGGGACGGGGACCCTGGAGGGACCAAGCAGATGGGCTAACTTCACCTATAGCCACACCAGCAAGCTTGGCCCTCAGCCCCTACTCATTTGCCACAGGGACCCCTCCAGATCCTACACTGTGCTAGCACGGCTACCCTTGGCACCCACAGTGCACTTAGATGAGACATGTCTGCCGAGGGCCTGGCACCAAGGGCTCCAGAGCACAGTACTTACAGGAAGACAGTGGGGGACACCCAGCATTGGGGCTGTGTGATGGGGGCCTGGCCTGGGATCAAGGACCCCTGCCCACAGAGCTCCCCTCAGGCCAGCCCACCCTCGGCTCCCACCCATGCTATACCAGAACCCCGGAGGCCTGGGGTTGGACCAGAAAAGTTCCAGCTGCAACCACCCAGGGGCAGGAGAGAGGATGTTTGTCAGATTTATGCCAGAGTCCAGAGCACCTGAACAGGAAAACTGAGACAGGAGCCCACGCCACAGTGTGGAAGCACACGGATCCAGGCTTGAGTGACCCGGGCCTGAAGCAGGGTCAGGAGGTCCTTCCTGGTGGCTCTGTAGGGGGCGGACCAGGGACTGTTGTGCTCCCCTGCACGTGGAAGGATGCAGCCAGCTCTGCCCTCAGGCCTTCCTTCTCCCTGCCTAGGGGCCCCAAAGCCAGGGTCCAGGCCTAGTGAGCGGGAGCTGGGTATTTGCCTGTGTTTTGCAAGTCAAATGATTTGCTGGAACAAAGTCCCGTGCAGCCCCTCCTCTGGGCAGGAGTCCCCGTGACTATAATTCTCCTCCCCCTACACTCACAGGGCGCCCCCGGCCGGCACCTTGCCCTCCCCATTAAGCGTCCGTGGATACTGGGCAAGCCCGGAGACGAGCAGGGTCGGGAAGTCCCCTTTAAAGGGGAGTCGTGACGAGTTCAGCGTGGAGAAGGGAGAAAAGAAGGTGCAGGGCCGGCGTGGAGGCGGGGCCCGGGGGAGGCTGCAGGCGTCGCGGCGGCCCGACCTGATGCCCGACCTGACTCCCGCCCCCTTCGGCCCCAGCCTACTTCTCCCTGCAGGTGATCTCGGCGCGGAGGGTCTTCCGCGTGTCGCCGCCGCTCACCACCGGCCCGCCCGAGTTCGAGCGTGTCTACCGAGCCCAGTGAGGCGCGGCGGGAGGGCGCGGGGCGGGAAGGAGCGAGGCGCGGGCCGACACGGTCCGAGGCCCCCGGCCGCGCCCTCACGCCGCCCCGCCCCCCGCAGAGTGAACTGCAGCGAGTACTTCCCGCTGTTCCTCGCCATGCTCTGGGTCGCCGGCATCTTCTTTCACGAAGGTCCGGGCGCGGGGCGGGGGCGCGCGCACTGGAGCCCAGGGGCCCCGCCAGCGTGCTCACCGCGCCCCGCCTGCCCGCTCGCAGGTGCGGCGGCCCTCTGCGGCCTGGTCTACCTGTTCGCACGCCTCCGCTACTTTCAGGGCTACGCGCGCTCGGCTCAGCAACGGTGAGAGCCGGGGCGGGGCTCCCGGCAGGGAAGGCGGGCGGGGAGAGGCGGCCTATGGGCGGGGACTGGACGGTCCCAGGAGGCCGGCTGGAGGCGGGCCCCTTTGGGAGGTCCAGCGGGCTGGCCCTGGCGGCGGTCCCGGCAGGGCTGGTGGGCGGGGCCGCTGGCCGCCCCGCCCCTGCCCCCCCACCCCCGCTGAGCACCGCCCGCAGGCTGGCCCCGCTGTACGCGAGCGCGCGCGCGCTCTGGCTGCTGGTGGTGCTGGCGGCGCTCGGCCTGCTCGCCCACTTCGTCCCGGTCGCGCTGCGCGCCGCGCTCCTCGGACGGCTCCGGACGCTGCTGCCCAGGGCCTGAGACGGAGGACGCCGGATCGGCGGAGCTACAGAAGAGCCCGGGCCTCCTGGAGGGCGGGGTACGATTGCTCACCCCCGCTTTGAAGTCTCGAATTAAAGTGCCTGTGACCGGAGCCCGAACGCGTTCTCTGGGTCGGAGGGGCCCGGCCCGGGGTCGCAGCGGCCAGGTGGGCTTCCCGGGGGCAGCAGGGGCGCGGCCGCGGAAGGAAGGGGGCCTTTCCCCGGGACCGGGGCTCGATGCAGTTCTCTCCTGCCTGCTCCCAGCCCCTGGAGCCACACACCGGGCCCGCGGGTGCCCTTTCCTGCCGGCGTCAGAACTCTTCGGAGGCCTGCTCTCCACTGACCCTTAGCCGCCCTTGTCCCCTGGCCTTCACACCCGACACCAGGGACTTTTTTACCTTGTCAGCGCTTGGTCCCTGTCATCCACAACAGTATAAGTGTTCAGGCACCCCGCCCTTCGTGAAGCCATGGGGACCACGACGAAGATGGTCAGTGTAGTCGTGTTAGGCTTTCTCAAGAAAACGCCCAAGTGCCTTGGGGGACCAGACCATGGGAAGGTGGCCAACAGTGTCCCTAAAGAGGTGACTTTTAGCCGAGCTGGCAGAGGAGAGGAGCTTTCCAAGCAGGGCAACAGCATGTACAAAGGTCCCCAAGGAGAGAAAGGTCTCCTGTACAAAGGCAGGAGACCCTAAATTGTGTCAGAGACCCAGGGGGGAGAGATGAGCGGGGCCTTGGGGACCGTGGACGACGACAGGGCTGAGACCCAGGAAGGAGGGGGTACGAGGAAACAGGAGATGCCTTCGGTTGAGAGGCCGCCATAGCAAGTTGGGGCGGGATGATGGGAGCTAAGGGGAGCAAGGGGTAGGGGGTCCTCATGGAGCGAGGGCAGCTTTGGGCACCTGGCCCCGGGCTCGCGCCCGCTCCACCGCGAGTTACTGACCAACAGGGCGGCCCAGACCGTCCCAGGAAATGGGGGTGACGTGTGAAACTGCGCAGAGGGCAAGTCCCCCTCCGTGGCGGGCGTGGCTGCGGGTGGGGCTGGGGGCGCCGGGTCTCCCCCCACCACCCGGAGCTCGGGGTTCTCCCTCGGAGGCGTGCATTTCATTAACCCTTTATTACAAGTCACGCTCTTATAGAAGTATAGGTGGACTTACGTGAAAAAATCAAATGTATCCAAGAATAAAAAACACAGCACAGAAAGTAGTATATGCATTCCAGTGTTCGCGCCGGAGATAGCTGGCACCCAGGAAGAAGCTCTTCTCCACCGGCCTGGCTCCAGGCCTCAAGTGCGAACTGCTCCAGGCCTCAAGGGCCGGCCTCAGGCACAGTGTGGGGGCCGCCTACCTACTCCTGTGGCCCGGCGCAGGGCAGCACCAGCTCCTGGGGCCTCTAGGCCAGCAGAGACCCCAGGCCGCCAGCGGTCACCAGGCAGGACCCCTCAGGCTGGGGTGGCGGCGCCTGGACTGGCCCTCCAGGGGCAGCAGCCAGACATCCCAGGTCTCTTGGGCTTCAGGGCCAGTGAAGTGCAGCCAGGAGCCCTTGGCTTAGTCAGCCTTTTTCAGGAAGATCTAGAGGAGCAGGGCTCAGGGTTAGTGGGGCCTCGGAGCCAGCCCTGGTCTAGCCACTCGGAACAGCTCCCGGCGCCCCGCCCTGCCCTGCCGCACCGCACCTCACTCAGAATGACCCACACCGGAGAGTCTGTCTGGATGGAGAGGCGCAGTGCTTCCAGGGGGCCGAAGGCAGGGTCCACCTCGCCCTCTGCCACACCCTTGTAGAAGGAGCCTGGGGGAGGGCAGCGCTGAGAGGCTGTCCCAAGGCCCCTGTCCCCCAGCCTCTCCCACACCTCTGCCTACCTGACCCCACTCACCAATCTGGAGGTAGCCGTCAGGGCTCCGGGGGTACCGGAGGGTGGCTGAGCGGCCCTCCTGTAGGGCCTCCTTGTCCGACTGAGGATTCTGGGGGCAAAATCAAGGGGCTGAAGCCAGGGGCTAGGGGAGGGCAGGCCTCAGTGCACACCCACACCTTTCACACTCACATCAAAGGGCAGCACCTCCACAGACGTGTTGAAGAGCTTGTCCTCCGGGTGCTCAATGTTCCCACTTCGGAAGAAGAACCTGCAGCCAGACAGGCCTGTGAGCTGCTGCAGGGGTGGGCCGGGCCGCCCAGCAGGGAAAAGGCCAGGCCTGGGCCAGGGGAGCAGTATGTGGGCCCTAGGGGAGGCTGCACCAGGCAACCAGGGCCTTATTCATAGGGACGATGGTGATGGGCAATGTCACTGAGCTCCTGTGGGCACTGCCTGACTTAGTCTTTACAAGGTAGCTACCATTATGAGCCCCACTTTTCAGACAAGGAAACCGAGGCATGGTGAGGTTAAGTAATTTGTTGGGGGTCACAGAGGGACATATGCAGGTCCAGAAATTTATGGTGAGGGCTATACCCTGGTAGCCACCCTCCTCCAAGGTGGACCTGTGGGTGCTGGCACTGACCGCTCAAGACGCAGTGGCTGAAAGAAGCGGAAGCGGATGAAGTCCCCTGCCGCAGGCGTGAAGGCCCAGAAGAAATCCTCGCGCAAGTAGGCCTTCTCCAGGGTGAAGTGCTGATATGTCTTGAGGCTCGTGCTCACTTCAGCCGGTGGGTTTACGTGCTCCTTCCGCAGTGCCTGCTTCCCAAAGTCCTTGTCCTGCAACCACCGGTGCTAGAGGGGGCCTGGACTTGCCCTGCCACTCCCTTGCCCCGCCCTCAGCCCAGCTCTGCATGTCCTGGGCCAGGCTCAAGTGGGGAACAGCTCACCTTCAGTTTCTGGATCTTGCCTGCCAGCGAGGAGTGCGTGCCCACGTGTTGGAAGAGGGATGGCTTGAAGCGGATCCGCAGGTTGGCCTTCTGCCGGTCACAGTGCTTCTATGGAGGGAGGGTGACACTCTAGGGCTCAGCTCAGTCCCACCTCCCAGGCCAGGGCCTCCCGCAGCCAGCGGCAGTTTCCTTGCATCCGGCGTGTGGAGGCTGACAGTCCATGCTGGAGGCTGCACGCCCCACCGCCCCACCCGCCTCTGTGCAGCCCCTGCTCACCGCATCCTTCTCTGGGTTGCAGACTTTCACCCACAGAATATGGTCCAAAAGCCAGTCAATGGGCTTGTCTCGGTAGAACATGAGAATGAACTCCACAATCAGGCTCAGATCCAGTGACTTGAACATCTTGCCTGGAGGTGGGAGTGGGGGGAACGGGGCACTGAGTGGGCAGCTTTGCCCTGTTCTACTTCCTCTTAATCCCTGTGGGGGCCACTGGGGAGGGTCTCACAGCAAACCGTGTGGGCTGGCTGCAGGCAGGGGTGGGTACAAGGGGGCAGATGGGAATGGTGAGCCCAATATCCCCGATGCAGAGAGTGGGCGGGAGCAGGCCAGGAGGGGCCGCAGCCAGCACTCCAGGCAGGGCCCGATCTGGGCGAAGGCTCACAGCACGACACTGCATGGTACTGGGGATGGGGAGCAGGGCAGCGGGCTGAGAGGTGATGACAGAGAGGTGATGATGGGCAGGCCTGGGGCTCTGGTCAGGTCAGTGGGGTGGGATGGGGGTGGCACACCGATGAAGCCCAGCTGGGAGAACTCCAGGATCATCCAGTCGTCTGAGGGCTGCTGCAGTGCAAAGTTCTTCATGGTGCTCAGGTAGTTGGGCTTGGCCACAATGTCATCCTCCAGCTGCAAAGCGGTGGGTAGAAGGGGGCTGGACTGAGAATGGCAGAGGGGCAGGCAGGGCTCCCCACCCAGGCCCAGCCAGGGTCGGGGGTGGGGGCAGAGCAGGGTCTCAGAGCTGACCTGCACGTAGTAGATGCCTTTGGACTGTGCGTACATCATGAGGAAGCAGTAATCGAGGTTCTGTTTGGTCCTCCACCTGTGGGCCGGGTGGTGCCTCAGGAGCTCAGAACCCTCCACCTCCAGGGTGGCTACCACCCTCCCCCCAGGCGGAGGTCCTCCAGTGGAGAAACAGATGCACTGAAGGGAAGTGCCTGGGGCTCAGACACCAACAGCCTAGGTTCTCAGCACAGGTGGGTGGGCTGCTGAGAGGACAGGCAGAGGGTGCTAGTACCTGACTCTCTCCTTGGGGTCCCCAAAGGACTCTCGGAGGCGGGAGAAGTCAGGATAGAAGTGGGGGGAAGGGGAGATGACCTCCAGGAGCCCGGAATGGATCTCCGTGGGAAACCTAGGGGACAGGAAGGCCCAGTGGGTGTGCAACCTCCAGGGACTGGAGTGGGGGCAGAGTTGAGCTAGCCAGACCCAGTCCCTTTCCTAAGGCCCACTAGGCAGACATCCCCCAAACCACACCCATCCTACCGAGGCAGTGAGGCTCCAGAGGGGCTGGGCCACCTCTACATCTCCACCGCCTTTCAGCCAAGAGGGGAAGCACCCTCTCCCACAGAGGGAAGGGGGAGGCAGGTACCTGCCCACCCAAGAGCCCATCAATGGTCCTCCCTCCACCAGCTCTGCAGGCTGCCAGTACTCACAAGGCCTTAATGTTCTCTGTCACCACCGAGGTGTACTGTGGGTCAGTCTGTGGGGAGACCAAGTGCCCTCCCTAAGCTGGGCTGCCACCACAAATGACCTGGAAGAAGGGGCTGAGGGAAGGGTGCAGGCTGCGGATGGCACCACACACAGAGGGAGTGAGCCCCCATCCTGAGGGCCAAGTAAGGCTGGGCCTGGGGGCCACAGGTGCCTCCGAAAAAGCCCTTTGGGGTACCTCGGTCCGTGGGGGGGTGGCGAACTAGGTAACTGGCATCTCCAAGAGGGGGCACTAAAATGTTTCTCGTTAACATTATCTTGATAAATTTGTGAATCAAACTGACAGCTGAACTTCTGGTAGCTTTTTCTGAACGTTGCTGTTTTCATTTCTCCTTGTTATTTTGTGCGTGTGTCCTCCTCTGAATGTCCCCCGACCCCAGCCCACTCGCCTCGGCGATCAGCACCACGATGACCGCGTCCTCCTTCTCCTGCCGGCTCAGCTCCGAGATGAGCGAGTGCAGCGTGTCCGTCAGGTAGGAGTGCACCTCGCGCCGCACGCTGGGGATGCCCATCACCACCGACACTGCAGGGTGCGAGGGTCAGCACGGCGGGGTGCCTGACGGCCCGGCCCGTCTCTGCCCCTCCCGCCCGCC